AGCTCCAGGTCCTTCAGATGGGTCCAAGCGCTCATACGGCTGTGGCATCCTCCGGAGAACAAGGTAAGTTTCGGCAGCACTACGCGTCGACGAGGGTGGACGATTCTCACCGCGGCACGACTGTAGGGTAAGTCTCACCTTCCCTTTGATACTTCGGTCCTTCTTTCTCCGACTCCATCGACACTCACGGCGGCTGCTATTCGAGGGAGTCGTAGTCGCTGCGCTAGTCGTTCCAATGATGGATGATTCGGATTCCCTGGTCGATTAGGGCGCGAGCGCGGCGCCACAGAGATCCGTGGCAGTCGAGGACGCGGACCCTGGTTGTGGCGAGCAGCAGCACCGTGCGGAGGAAGATGTGGTCTTTTGGCCACATGTGAAGTCGTAGAGGGCTCGGCTTCCCGGAATGCGTCGTGAAGCGAGGAGTGATGTTGACTGCCACACGCTGTACACGTCTTCTTCGAAGCGCACTCCGAAAACTGATGGCGTCTAGGCAGTTGAGCAGAGTTTGTGTTCACTGACGAGCTGTTTGCGAGCCATCGCCGTCTTGCCCTTGTAGTCGCCGCAGAACATCACAAAGTGGTCCCCCTGACAGATGGAGCACCGGCCCCTGGGCTTCTCTTTCGGGTCTTGCCTTTTTACGTAGTGGCTCCGAGTTGACTTCGAAAGGCTGTGGCTGCCGCTTTCGTTCCTGGCCGGATACAGCGCCTCCAAAGTATGAAGTCGGCGTTCTATGAAGGCCTCCAGCTCGGAGTAGGAAGGCGGATTCGTCGTGTGACTGATGTCACTCTCCCATTCTCGCCTGGAGAGATTGTCGAGTAGCTCGACGACTAGGTGGACGAAGAGGTCTTCCGTGCGGTTTATTGGTCGATCGATGCTCTTTAGTGAGCTGACCGTAGTTTTTGACCCGTGGAAAGTCGCCTCAATTCAGCGGCGGATTCGCTCTTCATCTTGGTCAACATCAAAAAATTGTTGAGATAATTACGCGTCAGTAATCTTTTGTTTTCATAATAGTCACTCAGCGTCTTCCAGGCAATGTCGTAGTTATCGTCCGTGGTGCTGAGGTTCCGAATGAGCAGATCAGCGTCACCCTTTACGCAAAGCTTTAAATAATGCAGCTTCTCCACAGGTTTTGCTGCCTGGTTCCTACCGATGATTGATTGGAAAAGATCTCGGAACGAAGGCCAGTCCTCGTATTTTCCGGCGAAGGTCGGCGGCTGGATTTTCGGCAGCGCTGTCCAAGGAGCGGAAGCCGTTGTTGCGATCGAGGTAGAGCTGGCTGCCTGCAGTTGAATCTGGAGAGCACTCTTCAAGTCGAGCATGAGGCCCTTGTTCAGCAGGTAAGCCTCTTCGCCCAACGAAGGGATGTCTTGTTTTGCGTAGACATCGTGGCGTATTTCGTCCACGCGATCGGCTAACATATCGTTAATTCCGTCGAATTTCTCCCACAGCTTCTCGAGATTTAGAAGCCGGGCCTCCACCGCCCCGAGGGTGATATTGGCCTCGCCGAGCTTCCTAAGGTTCTCGTACGCGCGAGAGATCTTGCCGTATAATACTGTGGCGGTGGCAATGATTGCCTTAGTGTCGGCCATCTCTTACTCTGTCTCTTTTTCTTCAGAAGCACTGGTCACCGACACTGATGCACTATCGCTTCCGTGGCACCGGATTCACAGGAGGTTCCGGAGGATCCGGCTCGAAGAACCAAAAAATGTGCACAACGGATAGCGGGAAAGGAAGGTCGGAAGCGAGACGATAGAGAAGTACTGCACTCGACACACGTGTAACGTGAACAAAAATTATATTTAAACTAAGAACAACGAAAAATTACAATTGTTTAAACCGCACAAAAATAGCCAGAGAATTAAATGAAAAGAATAAACCACAAGAGTTAGCCGAGTCGATAATTATTAACTGAATGTTCCGCAAGCAACGGTAATTAGACGAGAAAAACGAAAAAGACAAGCGATCTTTTTCGTAAAGTATTATATAAGCACACTCTTGACGCGACAAGCAATCGGAAAAGAGCACCGCGATCACGAGAGAGGAGGTTTATATAGGCCCGTATTTCTAGAATAGTCTAGAAAGATTTTCTTAATTTTATCGTTCGGCTGAGGACGAAAGAGCGTTTAGTGTAATTGTTTACTTTCAGGAAAATAGTCGTTTTGTTATTATCGGGAACTAAATTGTATCTCCTCTCGCGCGGCCGCGGTGTTTACTATTATATGAGATTTGACGAAAGAGCTTTCTTTTCGCAGGCGCGGGGTATACGTATATCTGTGCGGCCGAGCGCTATTTGAAAATAATATTAATATAAAATTAAGTATGATGCATGTTGCATGTGAATGAAAGGCCTGCATGAATTTTAATTAATAATGTTTTTAAGACTTTTCAGCTTTTTTGACGTTTGATTTTCGAACATAATTAGTTATAGTATATTAAGTATTATTAAGTGTGTTGCATGTTAAGCTTTGTTAACCAAATGAGAATGAAAAGAGTTTTGTAATTATTTTGACTTCAGACTAACAATAAGAATATAAGATATATAGTTGCCCAATGGAGTGGATAGTAGTACATTTCATAGAAGAAAATTTAGTCGAAGCTGTACCAGTCGCATGGGTGCATGATGATATGTGTTATTGGCCACCATGCACTGGCAAAAAATTAATTCATTCTGTCGCAGTATGTGAAAAACCAGTATTCGGTGTATGGCCATTATTTAAAATTCGAAAAGTGGGAAGTGGACGTACCTACCCAGTGAACCAAGTAATATAGCAGCAATGTAATGGCAATGTAACCAAATATAACAGGTTATATTACCAAAATGTTACATGTAATTTACATGTAAGTTACTTTTTCCGACTCAGCAATATAACATGTTATATAACGTGTTATCTAACCATTACATAACAATTAATGTAACTGTAATATAACAAATATGATAGTTGTTATATTAATGCAATATAATAGTAGCTATATTTGTAATGTTACAGTTATATTGGGTAATGAGCCTGTTACGAAAGTTGAATAAAAATAGATAGATTCAAAATTCTTATTTATTCTGTGACGTGGTCTTTTTGAGCCCGTCACAAGGGCGGACACGCCCGGCCGGGAAGCGTCTGAGAGCGCTGTACAATTTTGTGTTTCGTGCGGGTGAGCAGCGACCTTTTCGCTAGCTCGCCCGTACTCTGTATCGGGATCGAGGTGGTAGGCCAGGAGAACGGCCATTGTTTTAGAGAGAAGAGGACCTGGGCAGACGACGGAGGAACGACCTCAAAAGGGGAGGAGCGGAGACTGAGCGACCGGCCCGGTGAGTATTAAGAACAATAAAATATACGCGGTACCGAGGAAATAAGGAAGGGATACTGCAAATAAACTCGTTACAGCCTCGATGGGAAGAACAGGAGCGGTCCAAAACAGGGAGGAAAAGGCGCCTACATCCCTCGACAAGGATGATTCCCCTGAGGGGCCCGCCACCACACATCGAGAGAAACACGGAGATCTAACGGGACTGATCACCCCGAGACGACTTCCCTCAGCAAATAAAGGTCGTTCGGAACATCATCATACGGCCATACGAGGTGTGGACGGGACCGCCGAGAATGGACCTGCTGAATCGTCGATCCCGAGGGCTGAGGTTTGAATTTGGCGGCGGAAGTCCGACTAGCCGCGACAGACGGAAATCGATACAAGGATCGATTCCGGGTCTGGCGCGGGGCGCAACACTGCCGCGAAAACCTGGCAACCGGGCCGGGGTGGCGCGCATTGTCTTCCCCCTCCCCACCAGCGTACCTTCCGAGGTCCCGCCGGCCCGAAAGGAAATCACTGTTCGGCAAGCCGGTGTCCTGCGAACACGTGGAAGGACGACGACCCACAGCGACCACCTGCGACGGCGAATTATTGTAAGGCCACCTCCTCGATCGTCCGGTAAGCGCGGATTCGGCAGAGACCCGTGAGTTATTAGAGATGTGTAACGATACCGAGCAATTATGCTATAAATAATTTAGTACCGAGAATTAGTTGAGAGACTCACGGGACTCGCGTCGATTTCCGCGTCATTAAGTTGTTGCGTAAATCTTTGCCTTCTTCGCCTCTCCGAGGGGCACCGAAACGAGTCGACAGTCACATCGTAGTATATTGTAATTGTAGCATTGTATCGAGTCATTGATTAACAATCCTTGAGAATAAGTTACGCTGGATTAGAGTATGATCTATTCGATTCCGAGCCGGATATAAAGGGAGGAGAGTAATAATAACTAGAGATTTCGATAAAACACAGCGATCTCCCTACGGCTCGATAATAATATTATAGTTACTTTTATTCACTCCATCTATATACTACTAACTGAAAATATATTCTTATTTTATCTTATTTCTGAGTACAATTAATATCGAGATTTCCTCTCTCTCTCCGAGACGGCGATTCCGAATCTCCTTACGGAAAGAACCACGACACTCTACCCTCTGTTGATACCGAGCTACCGAGGCCGAGCCGTCGTGTCCGCTGATTATTTGCCGAGATATTGTTGAGTGGTGCGGCCTGACCGCACCTGGCGCCCAAAAAATACGATACCGAGCAATCAGTGATACCGAGAAGGTATTGAGAGAACGGAGAGCGGTACGACGAGGTTGCGCAGCGGTCTCTCTTGCACTCTCTCTCTCGTTTGACGAGAGAGGGCGGAGAGACGGTCGCAAATTTTGGCGCCCAACGTGGGGCCCTCTCGAAAGAGAGGACAATTAATAAAGGAGAATACGTGTCGTTTCGAGTAACGGAGAGACAGTAGGGTGAGCGAAATACTTCTCTTTTTTTTTCTCTTTCCTTTTTCTTTGTTTATCGGGCGCTGACTTGAGTCTCGCCCGAGCCGGAGATCTCCGCCGGGGACTCTCCGAGTATTATCTGATTTAATACAGTCGATGACTTTTGTTTATTGCATGCATTTGCATTACTTTGTCCCTAATTATTATTGTTCCCGCGTTATTGAGATTGTTCCCATTGTGCTTGTCTCGATATCTCGAGACTTCCCGTCACAACGGGGGGGACCCGAATTTGAGGTGCCATCGCGTTGAGTGCACGTGTACGGAGGAGCGCTACGCATATAACAGAGAGCGACCACCGACACGTTTCTTTGTCGCGCGTGGCATCGTAAACCCGACCGCGCGGTATCGTATTACAAAGGTAGCGCGCTCATACGCCTTTTATGTCTTTCTTTGATATATCGAGTGAATTATAGGCACCTGATTGATACCAAGTTTTTCGTCTAACACAAAGTCAGCAAATGTTCTTGTCCCAATATAACGAATAAGGTTATTGTAGAGCGACGAATTTTTTTTTTCTCTCTCCTTTCTTTCTTTCGATCTCTTCGCGGAAATATTTACAACTCATCGAGTCGAATCAAAAAACGGGCAAACACGTATTGTTCTTGAAGAATTATTGCGTCCTCAAATATTATTGTCAAGATACCGAGAGCTAAGGACGAATATTGGTGAATAGGTGTTTACGCGAATCCCCGAAATTCCTTAGCGAGACTCGACTCAATAACAGGCTTCCGTGTATACAAAGGAACATTTTTTTTTCCTTTCACTTTCTCGCATACGTTACCTTTCGCGAACTTGTTATTTCCTTTCTGTTGATCGAATTCGGAATAAGAGTTGAATTTTTTTTTCTTCTCTCTCTTCTTCTCGTCCCTTCTTTATCTCCTCAAGAGATATTCACGCCTATAAGTGACTTTCCTATTGACTAGGAATTTATGGAGTATCGTTCGCGACATATTTTCGGGTTCTAGGGGGAGGGGTATCGTGACCAAGCGGCGTAATCGAGGATTGACGGTGCCTAATTTAGGCAACGCTCACAAAGATACCGAGAAAGAGTGAGTTGGCGAGACAGTTGAGGGAGGGAGCGTACGTTTAGTCAACCCGTTTACGGTCCGCGTACTATCTATTTTCCCCTTCGAGATCTCACTTCCCTAACATCGTCACTGACCATACATCGAAATGTCGACAAAAGAGCAATTTCGGTGGATTCGGAAGTTATCACAGGAGGAGGTGAGGTGTGCCCTCGCGGAGAGAAAGCTGTCCGCCAAAAGGATCCTCCCCACCCTTAGGGCTCGATTATTGAGATACGAGGCCGCGCAATTAATAGGGCGAGAGCATATGCCGACCCCTGAAATATCGTAAGCGTCAGACGAAGAATCGAATACCGAGGAAGGGGCTGTTGGGGGCGAATCCCTAGCGTGGCCCTCGAAGCCGCGAATCAGGGTACATCCCCCGGAGCCAACAGAAACGCACCCGGAGCGGCGGAGAAATCCCGAGCCGTATCGCCCTCGCGTAAGACCGAATTTCGCCGTGGACGCGTATAATGTAATGCAAAAATGGAATTTAAATTTTTCCGGGGCACGCGACGGGGAGGCGGAAGCTTTCCTCATTCGTATAGAGCAGGGTCGGCAATTAATTTCCTTAGATGACGACGAAATATTTAAATGTCTGCCGTTCTTTTTATCGGGCACCGCGGCCCATTGGTTTCGTCTGAATCAACATCTTTGGCGTACTTGGGGGCAATTCGAAGCCGCGTGGCGGGCGCGCTTTGGATGCCCGAACT